TTCTTTGTCTTACAGAGCAAAGAAAGTTTAGAAGATTAAAGTCAAATGTGAAAACACTTTCCAGCAGAGAACAAAATTAGGTCAAAGGGCCAGGACAGGAAGGAACTTGCTTAAGTTTCTGTGATTGCAGAAAAAGGACTGCAATCACAGGAACTTAGTGTACTGTGCTCAGGGAGCCAGAGGTATAGAGGGTAAGGAATTCGCCTTGCATGGAGCTGACCCAGGTTTGATCCCAGCATCCCATATGATCTCTCCGAGCATGGCCAGGAGGATCCTTGAGCACAGAGAAAGAAGTGAGCCCTGAGCACCACTACCACTAGGTGTGGCCCAAAACCAAAACAAAAAAGATAAAGGACTTCTCTAGGTTAAGGAAATGACTAGGGATAAGGTGGATCAAGGGACATGCATGCTAAAAACATTCTAGAATCATAGGAGTATGCACAATGTCTTTCTCTTTTTAAAATAAAAATCTCCTTTGAACATATATCTCACTTGCTCTTCTCTATTAATTTGCTTGAGAACACACTTCTCCCTCTCTCCCCTCAGCTTTTCCTAAATAGTTTCAATAAGAACTCTTTTGCTTTACCAAAATAAAAATAAAAATCCATTTTATAGGGATTGGGATGTGGCTCAGTAGTAGAGCAAGTGCTTTGCTCGAGCCAACCCTGGGTTGTATCCTTAATACCACATGCCCCCCCCAATCCCACCCCAAGAACCACCAGTGATTTGCCAGGTATCTCATGGGTAAAACACCCCCTTAAAAAAAAAAAGCTGCTTCCTTCTATAAATACATGGAGAGGAATGCAACTCCAGACAGGTAAAGTGTGTCTTAACCCTAATTATGTAGCAACTACTTGCCCTAAGTCCTATTTTTCTGACTATTTACAAGGTCTAAAATGGCAATGAAAATACACACTGTGTTTTGTAAGAGCAGCTCTTTTTATAGCTAAATGGGCCTGCCAAGACCCTGTCCTCATAGTTCTGGATCCATAGATTTGAAAGTCCTTAAGTTTGTCAATAAACAAGCTATAGACTTTGAACAAACTCGACAAATTCCATTTTGTTTCACTTGCACAGCCCAAAGACACCCCCCTCCACTGGTTGAATAAAAAGCTTTTTATTTGATCTCGAGAAGAATCAACCAAAGCTCTGTTTAGCACAGTAAAACTGCTGATCCGAGGGGGGATGTGAGCCAGCTGCCAGCCACGCTGTGCCCTGGCAGAACTCATCATTGGACAAGACTGGGTATTGCCTGCACATCTTTTATATCCTCCTCTTTTAAAAACAAACTATATGTTTTGGCAGAATGTGCCAAGAAGGCTCATATGGGAGCTCTACTCTTACTTCTCTGAGAAATCTCCATATTATTTGCCATAGAGGCAGAACCAGATGACATCCCTATCAACAGTGGGCAGGGTTCCCTTCTCACTACATCCCCAATACTGCCCAGTCTTTTCAATATATGCCATTCTCACTGGTATGACAGCATAACTCATTGTCATTTTGGTTTGCCTTTCCTTTATTATTATTTTAACCTTTTTATTGAATCACTATGAGATAGACCCTTACAAAGTTGTTCATGATTGGATTTCAGTCATACAGTATTCCAACAGGATTCCATCCCTCCACCAGTGTACATTTCCCAGCACCAGTGTCCCCAGGTTCCCTCCCATCATCCCAAACCACCCCCTGCTTGCCTCTATGGCAGGCACTTCTCTCTCTCTCTCTCTCTCTCTCTCTCTCTCTCTCTCTCTCTCTCTCTCTCCTTTTGGGCATTGTGGTTCGCAATATTGTTACTGGAAGGTTGTCAAGAATATCCTACTTTTAAGGTTGTCAAGAATTACCTACTTTTAACACTTAGTTCTTGTCCAACATAATTTTTTTAAATTTTATTTTATTGCTTTTGGGGTCATACTTGGCAATGCTCAGGGGTTATTCCTGGCTCTGCACTCAGGAATTACTCCTGATGGTGTTTGGGGGGACCATGTGGGATTTTGGGGATAGAACCTGGGTCAGCCGCATGCAAGGCAAACACCCAACCAGCTTACTATAGCTCTGGCCTGCATTTTTCTTTATAATTTTAAATATATGTATATGTTTATGTATACACCTATGTTCACTGAAGCACTTACTTTGTATAATAGCTATGACACAGAAACAACCACAATACCCTATGACAGACAAATGGATAAAAAAGTGTCCTAGAGTAGATACATAACGATATACTCTGTAGCCACAAGATAAAAAGGGAATTATGAAGTTCACTGCCAGTGGGATGGAACTGAGGGCATCATACTGAGCCAGAAGCACAAGTACCAGATGATCTCATGTATCTATGCCTTACAGAGAAGCACAGACAACATCAATTGATTAAAAAATAATAATAATAAATAAACAAATAAATAAATAAAAACCCTGGATACTGGATTACAGAACTAAGATGAGCAGCTTAAGGAAGTAGGTGTGGGGAGATGGATGCATGGACTGAGGTAACACAAGTGCATTCGAGGAAGGTCCTGGCATGAATGGTGGCTGCAAGATTTGACAACTGTGTGTAACAAAACCATAAATGCCAACACAACTGCAAACTTATAACCTAAACTATATAATTTTTTAAATGAGTGGTGGAGGGGTGCGGGCTCTTAGGTGGTGATGCAACTTTGTATATCAGAACCAAAAACATTTGTAGTATTGCAATTATGTTACTAAACTATAACTTTAAATTAATTAAATAAGAACCAAAACAAACTCTAGGGCAAGGGAGATAGTTCAATGAGCTGGGGCCATGTTTTGTAAGCCTGAGCTGCTCCCAAGAGCACCACCAGATCTGAGCAGAGCCAGGAGTAGTTCCTGAGCTCTGCTGGGTATGACCCCCAAACCAAAAACGTAACAATATTTTAAAACAAAATTAGAACTATGGAGCATGGGAGATATTTCAGGGGTCAGGACATACACTTTTCAAGCAGAAGGTCTCAAGTTTGATCCCAGGTACACTTATGTTCTGCCAGAACTCCCAGATGTAGCCCTTTCGGCCTGCAGCACAGCTGGGACTGTGTTGTGTTACAACATTAAGTCCTAATATTGAATTGATAGCACTGGGGGAAGAGGCCTCCAAATCCTGACCCAGGTGCAGTCTTTAGCATTCTATATTTTAGGAATTACTTCTGGTGGAGCTCTGGCTGGAGCGATAGCAAAGTGGGTAGGGCGTTTGCCTTGCACGCAGCCAACATGGCCGACCCGAGTTCGATTCCTCCGCCCCTCTCGGAGAGCCCGGCAAGCTACCGAGAGTATTTGATATGCCAGACACAGTAACAACAAAGTCTCCAACGGAGACGTTACTGGGCCTGCTCGAGCAAATAGATGATCAAAGGGAGGGCCTTTACCTTTACCTTACTTCTGGTGGAGCTCAGGGGACCATATGGGATGCTGAGGATTGAACCCAGGTAACGGAGTGCAAAGCAAATGCCCTCCCCGCTGTGCTGTTGCTCTGACCTCTACACATATTGTATTTCCACAGCAACCCGATTTCTTCCAGGTTCTTTCCTCTAGTTTCTTTCAGTAGCAGCCCAGTTCCGTCCTAAGTGGCATCAGCATTATTGCTCACCCGCATATTTATTGAGCCCAGGGTCTTTCAGCATTTTGGGGCCACATCTGAGGTACTAGGGATGTGGGGAGTGTTGCCCCCTTGAGCTCAGGGAACCCGGTAATAAGGGGTTCCAGCATCTAAAGCGTGAGCCCCAGCCCTCTGAGTATCTCCAGAGCCAAGGTTCATTCATTTTTTTTTTCTTTTGGGTCACACCCAGCGATGCTCAGGGGTTCCTCCTGGCTCTGCACTCAGGAATTATTCCTGGCAGTGCTCGGGGGATGCTATGGGATGCTATGGGATGCTGGGAATTGAACCTGGGTTGGCTGCATGCAAGGCAAACGCCCTACCCGCTATGCTATCGCTCCAGCCCCAAGGTTCATTCATTCTAAGGTCCTGAAGGATGAAGTGGAGGGTCTTATCTCCATTTTTATCAATAAAATTAGGTCTTGGAGAGGTGAAACTGTATGTTCAACATCAATTCAGTCCGCTGAGCCCAGGTAGACTGGAAATAATCCTTCACTTGGAGGACCAGCACCTCCCTTGATTGATGGATTGATAGGGTTTGGGGCCCATACCGGTAATGTTGGGGTCACTCCTGTGGCGCTCAGGGGACCAAGAGAAGTCAGGGGTCCCCAGGACGTCCCACATGCATGGGATTCCTTCCTACCTCTCGGGTTCCTATTCCCCGGTTCCACTGCCCAGCTTCTTCCCTTTACAGGAGCAAATAAACTGCCAGTCCCAGCGGGGAGTCCTTCAGCATTTCTTACAATAGGAACGCTTCCGCTGGAATCTGGAAGCAAGTATAAGGTCAGAGACTTTCTAAGGGGTCAGTGACTCCAGGAAGATGAAGAACCAGCATAGGGCAGGCGGTCTGCTTGTCTGTGGCCTCTGAGTTTCCAGCGCTCACAGCGTTGCAGCTGCCAGACATTCCGGCTTCAGGTCCAAGACTGGCAGCACGCTCCCCGCTCCCTTGGCCCTGGCCAAGGCAGCTAGCTCACCTCTCCCATCTGCGTCGCTTCCCGGGGGCCCTAAGGGTCCCGTGCGGAACTGTGGCCAAACGTCTTCATCTCACTGTGTGTTGTTCCATTGTTTTAGAAGGTGAATTCCCCTGTGCTAAGGGGGATGCACCCTTTACCATGGTTTCTAAAAGAAAAGTCGCCCCACGTCGCAGGCTGAAGCAGGCAGGGTTATAAACACGGAACTGAGCTGAGTATCCCCTAAGCTCGCTTACCTCTCGGGGGGGGGGGGGCTCGGCTCCCCACCTGCCAACGGGAGAGCGAGTGGCTGCTTGCCTTCCCACCAGGCTCCAGATAACAAAGCTATACGGCGACCTGCAGCTCGGGGTGCGACCTGAGGGGCAGCTGCCAGCCCGGCCCACCCGGCGCGCGCCCGCCAACGCCCGGGCCGAACTCACCTGAGCGCGCCAGGTGCGGCGCCCACGCCAGCTCGGCCGGGCCGGGGTGCTGGGGCGCGGGTTCCCGGCCGGGCTCAGCCCACGCTGCCTGCGTGCGTGCGCGCGCCCCGCCTTTGTCGATTGTCTGCCTGGGAGGACGGGTGGTGGCTTTCCACTCCCCAGCCGGCCCGGGTCAGGGTGGGGCACAGAGCCCGCCTGGGCCACCCGGCCGCTGTAGGCGCCGCGCCCCGCCCGCCGCGGTCATTGCCCGCCCTGGCTGGACACTGGAAAACAGGGACCCGCACTGTGGCCACCTGGTGGGAATGTTGACCCCCTACATTCCCGGGATGTGTTTGAGTCATCACATTTGAGGGCGCTAACTCCTGGGGGCTGGACGCTGTTCTAGCGCAGAACCAGAAGCCAGGCGAGATCCCGCCCACTTGGGGATCCGTGAACATAAAATAATGCAAAGTTTTCGGTCACCTTGTTAGCGGAGTCAAGAGTGGGCTAGATCTCTTAGCATCTCTATTGCAAACCCATAACGCCCAAAAGTAGAGAGAGAGTAAAAAGGAATGTACCTGCCACAGAGACAGTGGGTGGGATGGGGTGGGGGTGGAGATTGGTGGTGGAAAATGTGCACTGGAAGAGGGATGGGTGTTCCATCATTGTATGACTGAAACATAATCATGAAAGTTTTTTACTGTATTTCTCGGTGATTCAATTAAAAAAAAAAAGAGTGGGCTAGATCACCTTTGCCAAATCCTCCCTTTTGTTATCATTTATAAGAGTTTATTACAAGAGCCAAAAGTTACTACTAAACTTTGGTTATTGTTTTGTTTGTTTTGGGGTCACACTTGGTAAGGCTCAAGGGTTATTTCTGTCTCTGACCTCAGTGATTACTGCTCAGGGGACCATATAGAATGCGGAGGATGGAACCCAGTTTCACTACATGCAAGGCAAACGTATCTCAGTCCCACTACTAAACATTTTATTTGCAATTTTGTTATTTATCTTATTCACAACTTTTCTCAGAGCTAGGTATAGTGAGTTATTATTATTATTATCGTTATCATTATTTTAGAGAGAAAAAACATACTAGAGAAATAAGAATAACTTGCTCTTAGTCACATAGCTCTAATTTAGAGGACCAGTTTCAAATTCAGATTATCTAAGGCATTTGGTTCCTTCGTAAAATTAAAGCCCAGGATGGGAGAGACACCACCTGTTAAAGCACATGCTTTGAGCTGGTTGACCCAGTTTGATCTCCGGTACACCTTTGACACATCTAAACACATGTGTACCCCCACCCTATCCTGGAGGGGGGAAAATCTCAGGGAGAGATCTCCAGGCAGAACTGCTGCTTGGAAGGTACCCTTCCCCAAAATATGAACCAGAAAAGTGTTTGTCCTGCCTTGCATGTGAGCAATGGAAAGAAAAGAGGGGCCAGTAGTTTAGTCTGTGGGCACAGAATAGGGATGTGGCTCGGTGGCAAAGCACACATTTGGGGTCATCTGCTTGACTTCATGTTAACTCTTTGTTAACTATTCTGTTTTCACTACAAGTGTCAACACCCCCTGGGTAACTGCTATATTATAGGGATCTCCACCTCCCTGGGTATGTATTTATTTAGTAATTTAAGGAAAATGAGGTAAGTTGAATAGTGTTTTGTTTTGAAACTGATGTTTTTTTATGTTATTTCAACTCTCAGGACTATCTGGCAGTGAAATTCCTAACTCACTGACCTCTCATCCTGTTGGCAAATATTTGGATGAAGAACTATTTCATTTTAGCTTCAAAAGAGACATTCTTTTTCAGTCTTCTGGAAAGGTACTTTGTTTTTGACTTGGAACCTCTAACAGAAGGTTGCAAGTATTTGCCTTTTTAGATTGATTGCTAGAACATTGTCCCCCACCCCACCTCCCAAAAAATGGACATCTTCTCCCAGTGACACCTACTCAAAGACAAAAAGAATTTTCCCACAACAGAGTATCCAGCTTTAACATTTACTTTGTTTTCATTTTCCGATTTGGGCCATACCCAGGGGTGCTTAGGGTTTACTCCTGACCCTGCACACTCAGGAATCTCTCCTGGGAATTTTAGACACATATGAGGTGCCAGGGATCAAACTGTGGTCAGAGGCATGCAAGTCAAGCACCCTACCCACTCACTATACTCTCTTTGACCCCACTATTTACTTACTTAAAACAAACAAACACACACACACACACATTTATTACTTGGGTCACACTTTTTTCCACTCTAGAGAAGTCTGTGCTCTCTCTCTCTCTTTCTTTTTCTTTTTCATTTTTTTTTTTGGCTTTTTGGGTCACACCCGGCAATGCATAGGGGTTACTCCTGGCTTTGCACTCAGGAATTACTCCTGGTGGTGCTCGGGGGGCCATATGGGATGCTAGGGCCGGGTCGGCCACATGCAAGGCAAATGCCCTTCCCGCTGTACTATCGCTCCAGCCCCTCTGTGCTCTCTCTTAAATAACTTTCTTCTCTCTTAAATAACCTCCTTCTCACACTTCTCTAAGTAAATTTCTCTCAATGAAGCTATTTTTCTTTGTTTAATATATGTGCTTTACTTGGTTCAAAATTCAAGTATATCAGCTTGTAGCTAATTGGTCTTTGGTTCCTCTCTATGCCTGGCATAGTTGCTTACACATAGTCATGGTGATATGAATGGGTAAATCTGAATCAAAAACTTGAAAGATTGATTTAAGATAGGGCAGTGAATTTTAACGGCAATAGCCTCTTTTCCCTACTAACTCTTCTTTTGCCTGTGATGCATAGACTTAGCACAAGGCTGAATATACTGACCAGTTACACATCTGGACATGACCTCATCCGGAGATCAGTGCTGAAAGTAGCAGCATCAGGCCCTTCGGTTGCTTAGAGGAAGTAATGAAATTTGACTCTAAGCCAGAGAGAGAGCTCAACAGACTGAGTATACAGAAAGCATGCTTTGCATGCAAAGGGTTTGATCCCTCACTCTCTATGGTCCCTGGAGCACTGCAGGGAGCAACCCTGAGCATAGTCAGGAGCTGTGTCCAAGCAACACCAGATGTGGCCCCCAAACAAGATAAACTAACATAAATAAATAAAACTGACTGGTGAACCAGAGCAGAAAAATAATTTATTGAGGGCAGGAAACATGGATGGCGGTGAAGACATTTGCCTCGTATGCAGCCAATCCCAGGTCCAGCTCTGGCACCTCGTTTGGTTCCCCTGAGCACCACCAGAAGTGAGCCCTGAGTAGAGCCAGACATGCCCGTGAGCACTGTAGGGTAGGGCGCAAACACCTTCCCTCCAAAATAAAAAATAATAATGAAAATAAATCAATAAGCAATGTGAAGGGGAGGTGCTTAAAAATGATTTATTGAAAGAGTGTTAGGAGGGGCTGGAGCAATAGCACAGCGGGTAGTGCGTGTGCCTTGCATGCGGCCAACCCAGGTTCGATTCCCAGCATCCCATATGGTCCCCTGAGCACTGCCAAGGGTGATTCCTGAGGGCAGAGCCAGGAGTAATCCCTGTGCATCACCGGGTGTGATCCAAAAAGAAAAAAAAAAAAAAAAAAGAGTGTTGGGAATGGGACTAGAGTCTGACTGGGGTTCAATCAGAATGATCACTGAGCACAGAGCCAGGAATAATCCATGAGCAAAGCTGGGTTGCCCCCCCCCAAAAAAAAAGTATCAGGGAGCTCAAAGAATAAGTGAGCTACCTGGAAGAGCAGCAACCACCCACTCACTAGAAGGCTGGGTGGCCAATTCCACAGAGGAAATGTGTCACAGGGCTGCTATTGATAATGCCCTCACCTCCCGGACTGAACCAGCTACCATCACCAGATACTGGGGTAACTACTATCAGAATTAATTTGACGCAGTGTCTGCTTCTTTTGACTCCTGTCTACTATCTACAGCCCGGGAGATTTTGGCCAATCTGGATCCCAAATACTCAGTAGTGAGGGGAAATTGACTCCAGATCTTTTGGGTCTCTGAGACCTGTTCTCACTTAGTGCAGGACATTTGGAAAATGGTAAGTGTCCACTTAGAAGTCACATGCTAATAATTTGTAGTTCCAAGACAAAAAAAGAACCAAATAATGTAATAGGCAAAAGGCCTACCAATACAGCTGAGCTGCACTCTCTAAACTGGAAGAGGTGGTTTCATACTTATTGCTCAACATTGAGGGGGCCAACTAATCAGAAATCTTTATAACACCAATACTTTCCTCCTAAACCTTCCCCTTTCTTTCTGATTGGAATAATTTAAAATTGCAGAGTAAAGGAATGAAAAGTTGAGAAGAGTAATATTGTGGAAAACGTATATACTATGAGAAAAATAAGGCCAGTGCCATGCATCTAATAAATTCACTTTATTTTTCTGATAAATGAAAAAAAATAACTGCCTACTTGTATAGTCTCTCTTATTCTCTAAGAATCTGTACAATTTTGTAAAATCTACCATTCTGACTTTCTAATAAAGTTTGTAATCAAATTAACTACCACTCACAAAATTTTTCATGATTATTGCTACTCTTGATGTGATTATTTTCTCTATACCTATGCCATATATGTTATTTGCACTTGGCGTGTAAGGAAAGAAGGTTGGGTGAGACAACTCAAAGGTGACAAATTTATAGCCAAGTTTATGTCTACACTATGTTGTCATGCTTGTGATTTCTGTATTTATTTATATTTATTTATCTTTGGTTTGGGCTGGAGCGATAGCACAGCAGGTAGAGCATTTGCCTTGCATGCAGCCAACATGGCCGACCCAAGTTCGATTCCTCTGCCCCTCTCGAGAGCCCAGCAAGCTACTGAGAGTATCTCGCCCGCATGGCAAAGCCTGGCAAGTTACCCGTGATGTATCCGATATGCCAAACACAGTAACAAGTCTCACAATGTTACTGGGCCCACTCGAGCAAATCGATGAACAAAGGGAGAACAGTGACAGTGACAGATCTTTGGTTTGGGGGCCAGAGTTACTTCTTCCTCTACACAGGAATTACTCCTAGTGGTGCTTGGGAGAGCATATGGAATACCAGGGGTCAAACCTGGTCAGCTGGTGCAAGCCAAATGACATTCCTGTTGTATTATCTCTCCAGTCCCAATTTTATTTATTTTTGT